ATTCACACATCGCCAAACGGGTTTGGCAGAACGACATGTGAATATCAAATGATTAATGGTTTTTTTTTCTTGGCAACACCTTTGGAAAACTGGAAAGAAAAAAAAAATTATGGTTAGTGGTAATATTTTTAATATAAAATATTTTAATATGATTTATTTTTGCTTAAAAACAAAAATAATAAAATTGTAAGATATTTAACCAAGAAAATGAGAAAAAAAAAAATTGTTCTTCCACTTTCCTCCAAGTCTTCATTTTTCTCGGAGTCCTTCATCCCCATGTTTCTCCAATAGCTTCATCTATTGATGGCCAGAAATCTCAACCACCAAAACGATCTCGTTTCACCTATTCCAGTCCGATTAAATTTCTCCATGTTTTGTTTGTTTTCCCTTTTATTTTTTGTGATAAAAAATTAAGGTAAATATTTTATAATTTTTATTTATTTATCATAAATAAATAATTTGAAGTAGTTTTTAAATCGGTCAATACCAGAAAAACGTCATCTGTTAGACCATAACAATATCTGAATGTATGTGTATTATAATGTTGCGCATATGTCTTATGTTAGGTGGTGGATGTCACCATGTGTCTACGGCGGAAGTCGTTGAAAAAGCGGTGAGTTTTTCATTGTTAGGCTAGGTGGTTAACGGTAGAACTTTCGGGTTCTTAGATGGCTTTCACGGATTCTGGTGATGGATGGTTGTTTGATCCATCAAACTCTGTTTTTTGCCGCGATGTTTCTTCCACCGATAAGGATTGAGTTGGATCTTGCTTGGAGGTGTTGGATTTGGCCGCATCTAGAAGAAGGGAGGTTAGATCTGAGTTTCTTGGGTTGCTAGGTGGGGAATCCATTTATCAATGGGGAGCTAATGTGTCAGAGATCAGAGCATTCTGAGAGATTTGTGGTGGCGCTGCTGGTTCGTCGGAGAGGAAAGGTGATAGAAACTGAATACTTATGTTGTTGTTTCCGATCCGAGGACACTAAAGCAAAGCTGCGGATTTTGTATTCGTCAGTTGTAGTGTTCGAGCTCTCATCATTCGTGTATTTGCCAGGGTTCAAAGTCTCATCTCTCGTGACAGAATTTTTTCCGATTTCTCTTTATTTGTTTCTGTTTCGTTTTTGGTAAAAGCCCAAGACCTTTTAGAGTTTAGTCCATACATTAAATATTAATATTTGAAAGAAAAATGTTTAACAATTTTTTGTGTAGGTTTTAAGACATTAAATAGTATGTATGTGTGACCATGTGGTTAGCTTATCTTTCATGTAGTTAGCTATCATTTTCTCTAATTTGATCTATTTGATCTATATTTATATTTGATATACCAAAGTCAAATAATCCACAGATTGAGAGGTCTAGGGAGGTGATTGGTAAAGACTTTGGGGGCTTTAAAATTTTTTAAAAGTCTCTAAAGTCATTCTCAATCACATTTTTTTTTACTCTTTAGTTTCAATTTTTTTCTAAAGTCATGTAATCCTAACTTTCAAAATAAAAATAATAAGAACCTATAGTATTTATAATTTCTTCTTCCCCATAAATATAAAAACTCTCATAAAATTCTCTAAATAATTTATTTTAAAAAAATTTCAGTTAATTTACAATAGAATTTTATTTTATTTTATTAAGATCCATTTTTCCATATTTTTTTATAGTTATTTAAAATCGTAATTTCTACAGTCACATGTTTTACCAATCTGTTATAAAAAACTTTATATTTAAAGTCATAACAGCAAAAGTCTCTACAACCAAAGTCTTTACATCGAAAGTCTTTAAAGCCAAAAGTAACCGTCATTACCAATCGGCCAAGTTTTTGAAGTTTTTTGTGGATGAGATCCAAATTGTGCTAAAAATATATTCACTGTGCACTTGTGATATTTATAAATTCCGGTTAAAAGTAGACCTCTCTCAATCTTCAAAAACAAGTGTTTGCTACATTGATACTAGAAGGAGATCGGAATCAATAGGTTCCTTTTCTGATCATAAATTGACAAAAGCTTCACTTTCAAAGCGTTGGCCATCTTCTCTCTCTCTCATATATCCCATTTTATTAGCCAATCAAATTATTTTCACGTCAAAAGGTTTTGGAATCAGTGGAAAACAAACAAGACCCACAAGGCCACAACAACGCAATCATCCTCAGATCTGTTTTTATCATAAATAAATCAAAAAGGACAACAGTTTTTACTATTTTGAATAATTGGTTTTCACTATACAAAACTCATTTCTCATCAGTTATTACCAGGATTCCTTTTAACACACATGTGTAAGAACTAAGAAACAATCTCGGGATCGATCTAGTACGATGTAAAGTTATAATAAAAATATATACAGAGACTTATGTCTACGTTACAAAATTATTTACCAGCCAATTCGATAATACATTGACGAGAACGATTTGAGCCTTTTTCTTAGAAATTTATAATTTGTCTTAAATGTTTCATGCAGTAATTAACTCTTTTTTTCTTCCTCGTCAGTGGTATTGGCAATTTTTGATAATCATTAGATTTTAACTTTAAAACAGCTTTTAAATAACTAATATAGGTTTGAAGTCATTTTTCATTGTGTTATTACAAATAAACAATATTTATATTAAAATATTTTCTAAAATCACATAAAACTAAACTAACAAAATATTAACCTATATAAAACAATAAACTTCATACATAAACTAATGGAATGTTCAAATTTATTTCGGAATTGGGAGTAGCTAGAATTGACATAAATACAATCTTTTTGCTTTATAAAATGATTTTAATGAAAAAAACTCTTCAAGTATCGACAGATCCATTTTTTTAATCCCTTAATTAAATCATTAATGAAGATAAATTCATCTATCTTTCCGTCTAAACCTATCTTGTTCAAACTTGATCTATTTTTCATTAATAACTAGATGAATACCCACGCTACGCGTGGGTTTGTTTTAAAAGTTGTTAATAACAAATTATTTTGATTGTTCTTGTTGCTAGTTAATCACCCGCTTTACGCCGCGGTTTTTTCCGGTTTTTTTTTTTATTTTGATTTATTTGATGTTATATTTTGATAAATGTAATTTTTAATTATCTAATCATTTACTCATACAATGAACAACTACTCTTAGTATTAAAATACATTTTCAACCAACATACTCAACAATACATCACTCACACAATCCGTAAACAATCTTTCATAAACCAATTTTATAGATGGTAATGTTGGGATTATAGAACCTCCAAAATTTGATGGCCTTACGTACTCTTCACCCTCAGTGTCATATATAGATCAAAAAATTAAGAGAAAAATGTACTCAAACCATTAGCTAATCCACTATACTATTATCCACTCATATTTTGAGTTAAGATTACAAAAATTAGCGAAAAAAACTTTGGAATATATAAAACCAATAAAATAATTTCATGGAAAAAAAACATAAAATAACAAAATAAGTTAGTATTAGTAAAAATTAATATGTAAAATTAAATAATATATATAATTAAATAATAAATATATTATTAACTTGTGAAATAGATTTTCAAATTCATATGGGTCATCCCTCATGGGCTATTGTGTTTTCCCCATTTGAGATTTATAATTAGAAGCTGATGTGTAAAAAATAAAAGCTGACTCATATTAATGAAATGTTTTGATTGGATGGAAAGAAAGCTGATGTGGCATCTCCAGAAGAGCCTAAAATGCTGACGTGGCGACCATATGGAGAGAGATAGCCTCCTTTCATATATATGATTTAGTTGAAAGATTTAAAATGGATGGACAGATACTTATAATTTGCATTAGAATTCCTTTTATTAATGTAGAGTTTTTTTATCAACATAAATGAATAATTTTTTTTCTTTGTCAAAGAAGTACATAAATGAATATTTGATAATCAGATTAATGAAAAGAAGATTTGAAAAATGAAAAAGAAGACGTACGGTATTGTCAAATCTTATTTACCATTCAGTATATATACAATGCCGTCTTATTTTTTCATCAAAATGAACGGTACATTGAAGACTTAAAGTTAGGACATAAATATGAAACTGATTAGGAAAACCAAGCACTTACGAGAAACGGAAACAGTATGTTGATTTGATATGAAAAAGAGAAAAGGGAATCGACAGAGGAAGACAAGTCCAACTCCAAGTTAAATTACTGACAATTCCTTCTCTTCAGGACATGCACATGTGCATGTCATACAATCTCTATGTATATGTAAATATGTTCTGCATGCATATGTACTCTATATGTATGTATGTCTATACAATTATATGATCACATATGCATATACATGAGGTATATATAATTTACATATAAACACAATTTGGATGATATGTGCAAGTGTCACATGTTAATAATAACATAGAGACCCCAACTTATACTAATATATATGTAAATGAAGGAGGCATATATACACTCGCATGGGATACATACATATATATAACCCCAAAATAATGTGTCCATTATTTACAAAACGTATGAGTAAATCGCGCCTGAGGTGGAGTGGTTAGAGTGACATCACATAAATCTTTTTCCAATGAAAATGTAAAAACAAATCAACATATAAACCTTATTTTCTCATGTAGAGCTGGAAAGTGGAAACTCACAGAAACTTCGTTCCTCATTTTCAATTACAAAACCATTCAAGGAGTACCAATATTACAGGCTTATCAATAACATAATCTAAAACAAAAACTAGAGTATTTAGTAAGAAACTATTATAATTAACAGAATTATCATATGTAGCCTTGATGATACGGTTAAAGACAAGTAATCTTTTATCTACTTTTGAGAAAACAGACCGAATCAAATATATAGATTTAACTATAATTACCATCCTAATTAATGTCTTCGGTACTTTAGTTATTTTGTGTATAATTATGGATCTAAAGAGTTATTGTGTGTCTTGAATTTAGAAATAAAGGGTAATTGTAACCATACGTATGGATGGATCTAAAGAGGTATACCTTCAAATTCATATCTTTAGAAGAAGAATCTTGACTATTGAATCAATGGAGTAAAACCCTGAATTGTCATGTTTTCCCACAGCTTTCTTGAGCTTCTTCTTTGTTTCCAAAATGCTAAATTTTAGAGATCTTTTTTTTTTGGTTTAGAAAAAAAAAACAATGGAAATGAAAAAGAAAGTTCAAGAAAGCTGTGGAAAAATATGACCAGGATCTTCATCTTCTTCTTCTTCTGGAATCTACTCACGAATTAAACTTAAGAGAATTGTGGAGAGAGGGAGAGATATTAGTTGAGCAACTAGCATATAGAAGAAATTCAAGAGGACCACTCTATTTATATATAATACAAAGTGAGTGATAGATATGTGAACCTGCTTAGTAGCGTGGGACTGAAAGATAAAAGTAGACTTCTTTGTTTCTTTATGCGTTTTCTTTTGTTATACAGTTTTATATTAAAAGTTCCATCAAGTCCAAATACTATGCCAATTTCATTTCAATGTTTTTTAGTGTAAACAATTCTTATGCTAGTGTAAAAGTAAATGTTTGGGCCATAATTGTCATTTAAATTTGGTCAAATCACTTACCGTTATGTGCAATTTATATGTGAATTACTTAGTGGTATATGGCCTTTAAGGTACTTAGATACAATCTTACAAAAGGCTAAACAACTTAATAAGTAGTTAAAAAAACTTTAGTTTGTGTTTTCCCAATGCTTGTTAAATGATTACATTACCCGATATGGAGAACACTCGCCGTTTAGTGGTCATATGGCCTCAAGAAATCCAACCTACCTAACCCAAAAATTATCCAGTCTTTGATCAAGACTTAGGTCAAATAACTCTTCATTATCTTTAGAGGCTCAAGGATATCTCTATAAGAGGTAATATATCTTTAAAAGATTTTTAAAAAAAGAAAACTTCCACACATTTTAACAAATATCTTTTGCGCACATGACATAAACAGACAAAAACGATCCAACTAATTTGCCATCCTGGAAAAATTATTATTTGCAAATAATTTTCTACACCCTTGTGTATACACAAAGTATCGTTGAGATCCCGCCCCAAGTTTCCAAAGTTTGAAATCGTAGTCTAGGTTTAACGCTATTTCCTCGTCATATCTCCATATTTTATCTAAAACTTCAATTCATTTTTTCAATTCGTTTGGTAAATACTACATTTTTTTTAATGTACTTTGCTTCTATAAATATTTTACCTAGTTTCTGTTGATCTTTTTTCTCCTCTAATACTAATTATTAAAACTATAGATACTAGATTTTATGAATATAAATAATGTATCGGTTAGTTCTTTTCAAAATTGGATAAAATGTGAGTGGAAAATAAACAAATAAAAAGAGAAGTAAAAAAAAAGCCCAATAAACAAAGCCTGGTCATGTTGGGCTCTGATCCAAACCATAACCACCTCCTGAGTCTTCTTCACTAACACCGGTCTTCCACGGCGGAAACCAGCAACGGCTTAGGTCAATCAGACAATGGCGAGCAGAGTTTACGTCCATTACCACCATGCCGATGCCTGTAGCAAAGCTCGCTGGAACGCCAGGTTAGTTCTTCTTCTTGTTCTCTAAAACCTTATCGGAGAAATTCGGACAATGATTGTTGTTCCCGAGAACAAGTTCATTGAATTAGGAACATGATTTTATGTTTTGTTTTGGCAGAGAGACGTTTAGGTTTATGTATGATAGGCCTTGGCAACATGTTGTTGATTTCTACTCAAACGCAGTGGAAGGGAAATTTTCTGTCCTGAATTTGTTTCAGCCTAAAGTTAGTATCTTTTATTACCAACACTTTACTATTCAGTTGTGTCAAGATGGCTTTTTATTATCCTTCTGATATAAATGATTTGTCAAAATTCAGAAATCTTTGGTACATGATGATGGGATAAACGAAGAGATGTCTCTTGAAATGGAATCAGAGACTTCTACTAGAAAAGACGGGAGGTCTGGGAGGTGGGAGAGAGTGAATTTCAAGATCGTTCTTTCGTACAATGGGACTTCTTTTGATGGATGGCAGAAACAGCCTGACTTACATACTGTTCAGGGGTAAGGTAGCATCTTTTCGGTTTTTTTAATTCATCAAAACATTGAGAATTTTCGTGTATTAGTAGCTACTCTGAGGAGTATCGTAGGATTTCTATAATGTCTTTCTCTACCGTCTTTCCTCTCCTTTCGGTATCCGCTGTTTCAAGTGGAACAAACTGTAGGGAAATAGGACGCACAAGCACTTGCATTCCTTAGTTTCTATAAACATAAGCATAATGGCTGAACTTTCTTTGATGGTTCAGGCAGTCCCTATAAACATAATGATTGATAGAAGTTTAGAAGCACAAGCACTTACATTCCTTAGTTTCAAGACTCTTAGTCCCTTATGTACTTTTTCATTTTCCTGAAAAATGATTGTTCTAGCGTTTTGTGGTTTTTAAAGTGTAGTAGAAAAGTCTCTCGGGGGATTTGTTGATGAAAGGAAAGCCCAATTGCTCAAGAAAAAATGTAAACCATTGGAAGGCCGTGTACTTGTTGCTGGAAGAACCGACAAAGGAGTGTCTGCTCTTAATCAAGTTTGTTCTTTCTGTACGTGATATTCAGATTCCTAACAATATTGTATAATGGTTATTATTCTTTCCCCCAAGTTAACCACCAATAGATAAGAGAAACGTATCTGTATCTTTGTTCTGTATGACCACTCATATTGTTTGCTCGTGAGAGTAGGTTCTTACTACAGTTAGTTGTAAATCATTACGAGATTGTACTGCTTTTTCAAGGACATGGCCATTCCAGCTAGTCAACGTGATTAATTGTAAGATTGTCTAATTAAGATTTTCTCTTAGATACATGGAGAAAAGATATTGAACCCATTGATATTGAAGATGCTATCAATAAAGATGCTTCTGGGAAACTAAGGGTTGTGTCAATCTATAAGGTATACTCTGTTCAGGATGGTTTTCTTTCCTATTTTTAGTTTTCTGGCAAAATTTGATAAAAGTATGTGTAAAGATACAAAAATGTTCTAATCTCTTTTCTGGAACTATGAACTGAAACTGCAGGTTTCCCGATCATTTCACCCAAATTTCTCTGCAAAATGGAGGCGCTACTTGTATATCTTTCCCTTGGATAATGCTGAGCCATTGCGTAAAAGTGGCGAGAATCATGAGAACTTTATCTTTGATGAGAACCACGAAAAGCAAAGAAATGGACTCTTAAGTGAAGAGAATACTGAAGAAGTAATATTGAGCGAGGATGATGAGCTTGAAATTGAGGAAACCAGCAATGGGCTTGAAGTAGTAGAAAAACCAAGTGACTTCAGTGTAATCAAGGTTGATCAACTTTTACAGCAGCTTCAAGGAAAAGTACTATCCTACAAGATGTTTGCGCGTGATACAAAAGCTGCAAGAAACGAGTAAGAGCTCACACAAGGTCATTGGTATTACGTTTTAGCATCGCAACTGTTCTAGATCACTGTCTTACCAGCATAGAAATTTACCTTTCTTATCAGCATGGTGTACATTGGCTTAGATTTGTAGTGTAAATGGTTTCTTATTTGGATTTTCTTGACGTTGCAGAGGTCCACCTACAGAATGTTTTATGTACCATGCACGGGCAGCCGAGATTAGATTGTCCTGTTCTGTAAGTGTTTGATTCTGTTCTCACATTTTAGCTATCATTTCTTTACTTCACACCCAATCGCTCTAATGTCACTTGTTGAGCTACGGTGCTTCACGCCATAGTTTCTACATAAGAATTTAAGGCCTAGCTAAAAGCTCATATTTTTCTGATATAGACATGTTATTAGCTCGTCATTTTTCTGGCATGGGTTTTTTGGTGCATCAATAGTACTTGTAATCCTGGCTACTGAAGGATAGACAACATGAGACTTGACAGAAACAAAACTGTATATTGCATCTTGGTTTTTGATTAAACGTTCTCCTGAGTTCTTGTTCATTGCAAGTGTGTCCTAAAGATGAGATTATCTCCCCATGTGAAACTAAAATCGACTTCTTTTGAGGAATTGTACCAGGACTGTGTGGAAGGAAGAAGGGTTATGTGTGTTGAGCTTGTCGCTAACCGATTTCTCCGCAAGGTGTTTACTTTAAGCCTAATATTAGCTTCAAATACACTTAAGTTGCAAGTTTTGGTTCTATGTAAAAAAGGTTTACTTTAAACTTTTAAAAAGTAAAGAATTGCACTGTATAAAAGACACATGTATGGGAAGTTGTACAACAGCATGATTTCATCCCTAAAGAGGCATAGTCATATTTGACTGTCAAACCTGTATCTGCTCGTCTTCATTGTTTTGCATTGCCTAACGATCCACTTAAACAGTTATACCATGTCTATGTAACTTTCAGATGGTTCGAGTTCTTGTGGCAACATCAATCCGAGAAGCTGCCGCTGGTGCAGAAAATGATGCATTGTTAAAACTGCTAGAAGCTTCATGCAGACGAGCCACAGCTCCTCCAGCTCCATCTGAAGGTCTCTGTCTATTCGACGTTGGTTATGCTGACTTTGACCCTCAAACTTCTCTCATTTCGTGAGAATGGCATGTTACATGTACTATATCATATATTGGATGAAATCTGCATGATTTAGATTGGAAGTCCGCTTGTCGTTAAAGCAAGCAAGACTTAGTTTTATCAATATCTCATGATTAATGGTAAGGATATAGTTTTATTTGCCCAAAGCCTTGACAATGATTTTTAGTTAATGGGTGTATTGCAAGATCTATTTACATGCCATATGATGACTGTGAAGAAATCATGTCATGATCTACAGAAAGATGGAAGAGAGAAGTGCAATAATCAGCGGTATTCATGCATTTGTGTGTCATGTTTGTTGCAGATACATTATATGCTATAACACAGATCCAGCTTTCATCTACTTCAGCTCCCCAGGTAAAAATGTCCACACGTCCATCAACTCTCATTGTTTTATACAGCACAAGAGCAAACCCTTGTCTATTTCTCATGCAAAGCTGATACTCTCGCTTGACACTCCTTTAGATGACCTCCCATCAGTTTCACTCACATACGTTGAGTAGAAGTCGTCATCATCCCCTTCCCGCTCCTTCAACACTTCAATCTTCTCCACAGCCTGTCCTATGTCCAACCTTTTCTCCACATCGGGTTCACAACAACTCAATCCGATCCTCAAGAGTTTAAGAATCTGTCCTTCACAATGGCTTGTCTTGCCCATCCC